TTTCCTGGCAGACAAACCGTCTCTGTTATTAACAACAGAAACCAAAATAAACGTCCAGGCTCTGCTTTTTCTTTTCACAGTTTCCATGGTAACAGCAGCAGAGCATTGGGATGCAGAGTCAGAAACAGCATTGTTGTTTTCCTCCAGCTGAAGTTTTTCTGACTGTTTGGGTTTGATGCAGAGAGAAACGGAGCAGGAGGAAAATCCTGAACCTGGGAGCTTATCAGGCGGTTTATGAGGTGCAAAATTCAACATAAACCCACAGAATTCAGCATGAAATTCAGATTTTCTGATTCTGGTTCAGATGAAGGGATCATTAGAAAAGCACCAAAACACAGAGAGGCTGCAGGACGTCTGACAGGAAGCAGAGAAACTGGAGCGCATCAGGAGGAAGATGAGTCATTTCCCAGAAACTCACCTGTCGGTTTGGACCAGCGCCTCTTTCCCTCCAAACAACCATCTGCTTCTGTTTCTCTCCTGCTTCTGGAATCTTCCCACGCAGGCCGGAACAGACCCTGAAATAAACGGCTGTGATTATCTGCAGCAGACAGAGTCCAGAACGCTGACGGGATAATTTCAGGCCAAACTCTCTGCTGCCCATAATCAACTTGTCAGGTTTCTATCTGTGTCCTCGGGGAGCGTCTCCACCATGTGTTTCTGCTTTATTATGAGGAGAGAAGCTCTACTAGACTTTGCTGATTTGGGACAATATCCTCGACTTTTACTGCCACTAAACAGCAATCAGACACATTAAACTATGGCATCGTTTGGCTCGTTTAAAGAAAGTGATTTTAATATGAAATTTCCATTAGCCTCATTGCTGCAGCGGTGGATTTCTACCAGGCCGCGGCTCAGGAACCCCTGGGCCTCATTTGGAGGAGCAGCCTTGTGTAAAACTACTGTCAGCAGCAGATTAGGGCTCCACCAGATGTGTGTTTAATTGTGTTCCTGCTGCATGAGGGGATTCAGACAAATGAGAGCATAAGGAGCATGTTCAGACTGCTTTATCCTGCTCTCTCTGATGGGGGACAGTTTTACAAACGTTCAAAGGGAGAACATCCAAAGACCTTCAGCAGACAGAGTTGGTTCTGATCATAGAGCAGCAGCATCCTGCTGATGTTGACCAGAGGCTCAACATCACTACTCAACGCTCCAAGAAGACATCAGACCAACTGCTGCTAGAGCTTCAGCTGCCCTCAGAAGGCTGCAGCAGGTCTGCAGAAAGGAGGTCAGACACTGACTCCTGGTTGATGAAGCTGAGGAACCGGTTGGGTTCACTGATTTATAGTTGTTTGTTCATCGGCAGCGCTGATGGTCAGAGGCCTTCATGTAACGATCCTGCTTCACATTCAGCAGAGTTCTGACTCAGAGCATTTAGATGCAAATGAGAGCAATCAGCCTCTAAAAGGTTTGAAGGAGCACAAATTGCCTCGGCTGTCACTGCAACCTGTGAGCGACACACAGGAGCTCTTTCAAGCTGGGCAACGTTTCATTGGCAACACCTGTCCCATCGACCAGGAATCAGAAATACTTTAATAATCCCAGAGAGGGATTACTTTAGTTACATTACTCCATCTGTAATAGAGTGACTATAGGACCAGCTTGATAGAACACTATTTCACATAATATA